CCCCCCCACTACAGAAAGGATGTGGACACATTGGAGAGGGTCCAGCGGAGGGCGACCAAAATGATTAGGGGGCTGGAGCGCATGACCTATGAGGAGAGGCTGAGGGATTTGGGTTTGTTTAGTCTGGAGAAGAGTGAGGGGGGATTTGAGAGCAGCCTTCAACTTCCTGAAGGGAGGTTCCAAAGAGGATGGAGAGAGGCTGTTCTCAGTAGTGACAGATGGCAGAACAAGAAGCAATGGTCTCAAGATACAGTGGAGGAGGTCCAGGTTGGATATTAGAAAAAGCTATTTCACTAGGAGGGTGGTGAAATACTGGAATGGGTTTCCTAGGGAGGTGGTGGAATCTCCATCCCTAGAGGTGTTTAAGTCTCAGCTTGACAAAGCCCTGGCTGGGTTGATTTAGTTGGGATTGGTCCTGCTTTGAGCAGGGGGCAGGATTTGATGACCTCCTGAGGTGTCTTCCAGATCTAGGATTCTATGAAATGGGTGACGGGGTGGGATCATGTAAGGATTATCTGGTGTGTTCCCTCCCTCTGGAGTGTCTGGTATTGGCCACTGTTGGCAGACAGGACACTGTGCTAGAAGGACCTTTTCTCTCACCCAGTATGGCTGCTCTTATGTTCGTATGACTCAGGCTTCCATCCCCACTTCTGGAGTTGCCAGAAGAGGGTGGCAATGCAATGGCTCCTGAGAGCCCCTGCTACATATGCACTGTGGCTGGTTCCCTTTCCAGGAGCTATCCCTCATGGCCCCACACTTTCTGACTGCAAGAGTGCAAGCTGCTCCGGAGCAGGGTCCCGAAGATGAGTGCTGGCCAGGGCTCCTGAGTTCTAGTCCCAGTGCTAACCCTGACTGTAGGCAGGCTTTTCCCTTGTCTGTGTCTCCATGTCCTCTGTGAAGGGGTGTCTAAACTGCACTTTTATTTCGAAATAACAATGTAAGAGTCTACACAGCCACTCCATTATTTTGAAATAATTTCAAAATAACGGACGGCTTATTCTGAAATCTGTAAACCTCATTCTACGAGGAATAACTCCTATTCCAAAATAGCTATTTCGAAATAAGGTGCCACTCTACAGGGCCATTCTAAGTTATTCCTCCCCAAGGCGTCTTGGAGATCTATATCGAGAGAGCACGTCTACATTAGGGAAGCCTGCCTCGGACTAATTTCCCTGCAGTATAGACGTGCTATTTCGAAATTAGCTCTTTTGGAATAACTATTCAGAATAGTTTATTTCGAAATAAGCGTGCAGTGTAGACGTACCCTAAATGAACATAGCTAGAGCTGCCCTGTGAGGCTGGAGGAGAGGTTCCAGAACTGCAGCTTGCCATGGCACTAAGCAATGTCATCATTACTGGAGCAGAAGTGGCCCCTCATTCAGGCAGGGCACAGAAAACTGGTCCTGAGTGGCAAGAGCACAGTGAGAATGTGGCAGCTGGCTCCAAGCCCCCTGGCTTTTCCTGCATTTTCTGCCTGTCCCATGCACCCTTTGCAGCCTGCACTCCTCCTTTGTCTCCTTCTCCATGCTTCTTGGCTTCTGGCTCCTTTGCTCCAGACCCTTCACTCCCTCTCCTGTATCTTCAGCTCGCCGCAGTGGTAGGGGAGGGATGGGCAGGGGCGGGTGGATGTTGTGCTGCTGCAGCTACAAGGCTCACACTTCCCAGGAGGAAGCAAAGTGACTGAGCTATCAGGAAGCTCATCAAGGCGCATCAGCCCCAGTGCTGCTCTTAGTCCCTGGTAAAGCAGGGCTTAGTGGTCGGTAGGGATGGCGGCAGCATGAGCTCATACTTGGCCTCTCTTGAAAGCATTTGCTAGCGGTCTCATAACCACATTCAGGAGCTGCTCATGTCAGACATGGGGCGGCAGGAACTTCCCTGCTCTCAGGGGTGGTGATGGCTGCTGGCTTCCAGCAAGTGATAAAGCACCCCACTAAAGAGTGAGACTGGACCAGCTGAAGCACCCCATTGCAGTAGTAAGCCTTTCCAGGGACCCAGGACTCCTGAGTTCTGTTTCCAGCTCCAGATGTTGAAGCTGGCCTTGTACAAATATCGGCCCTGCAAACCACACCAATTGCTGGCATGGAGTGTGATCATAGGAAAACATTTCCTATATTTTTAGTTTCTTTCAATGCAGATTAACACCTGGAGCCAGAGCGGCAGCTGGTCCCCAGCACCCCGTGGGTCTCCATGGACCACTGTTTTAGAGTCCCAAAAGGATAACAGAAGTCAGTGGGAATTACTCATA